CATATGACCAAGCTCTTTTGCTCATGTGGGTTTACTGAACTTCTTTGTAATTCTTGCAATTAATTTATGATTTATTTTTACTCGCCATTCTCCATTTAGTACTTTAGGCCAATTATAATCCATAATGTATAATCCTTTCTTTATTTCTGCTTCTCCAGTCTATTTGATTTCCTCAAGAATTTTTTAAAATTCTGCTTTGTCAACAGATATATCACTTAGCATTATTGAATCTTTGAATTTTAATGATATCATTAAAATTACCATATTATTTTTTATCTGTGATCTCAAGTGTCGATCCTATTTTAACTATTGAATTGTGTACTCTAAGCTAATTGTAAGTTAAAATATAATATGCCTTGAATTAGTCAACACTACGACCTACCAAAAGATTGACATCACGACTAAACACAACATCCACATCTGCATCTCAATTTTGGACTGGATGGTGGACTACTTTTCAATATTTTTTTAAATATTGTTTTGTTTCCTCTTTTCATTCTTTAGATCTTAATAATCAGATTTATTATTACCTAGTAGTATATACATTACTTTTAATGTTTGCATTTAAATTGGATTCATTTGACTATTATTTCATTTTTCCTCTTCTTATTCATGACTTAATTTCTTGTCTGAATCCTCAAAATTATGTTTTTATAGTTGGTTTTCTTTACTTATGGTTTTCTTATATGTTCATGTTTTATACATTTAGATTTCTTATCTTATTCCACTAGTTAAGTGGGTTCCTTTAATTTTTTGAATTTTCTTTGTTATAATTTTAGTTCTTAATATTACTAATTCACATGTTATTAATTGCTTTCATTATTTTATTATTTAGTATTATCTGAGTTATCTTTATTTTCTTCCACCTAATCTACTTCTAAATTGCTCTTTTTTATACATAGGATCATCGTCCTATTCGATATTTCCGGCTTCATTTTTATTGCTTAGCTTTTACTTCTTCTGCTTTAGACTATGATAGATAATTTTAAGAATCATACTTATGCTTCTCTTACATTTTTTCAGCCTTAGTTCTTACATTTTGATGTTAAAAGAATGGTTTTAGCTCAGGTGACAATTTATCTTTTGGATCATCTTTGGATTAATTTATGTATTCTTTCTGTTTAATTAAGGAAGGCTTAACTTCCAAAGTCGTGCTAGAGTTCTTTTTCTTAGATTTGTTCGAAGTGGTTGACAAAATCAGACTCCTCTTTAGTTTCATTTTTGTTAACTATTTTA